TCATTACAGCCTTGGCTCAAACATGGACAAAAGAGCTGAATTCCAGAGGTTAGGTGAGAGTGACAGCCCTCGGCATCAAGGCTGCATTCGACTGAGTGTGGAATCAAGGAGCCCTGGCAAAACCAGAATCAATGGGTATTGGGGGCAAACTCTCCAGTGGCTGGGGTCATACCTGGCACATAGGAAGATGGTTGTTGGGAGTCAGTCATCTCAGCTCCACGACATCTCTGCAGGAGTTCCTCAGGGTAGTGTCCTGGGCCCAACCATCTTCAGCTGCTTCATCAATGACCTTCCCTCCATCATAAGGTCAGGAGTGGGGGATGTTCGCTGATGTTCACACAATGTTCAGCTCCATTTGCAACTCCTCAGATACTGAAGCAATCCGTGTTCAAATGCCAAAAGATCTGGACAAATCCAGGCTTAGTCTGAAAAGTGGCAAGTGACATTTGTGCCACACAAATGCCAGGCTATGACCATCATCACTTAGACTCAGAATCCCTACAGTGTAGAAACAGGCCCTTTGGCCCAACAGGTCCACACCGATCCTTAGAGGATCCCCCTATAACTCACCTAATCTACACATCCCTGAACACAGTCGCCCGAGACTGGAATTGAACACAGGTCCCTGGCGCTGTGAGGCAGCAGTGCTAACCACTGAGCCACCATGCCACCCAATAAGACTGAATCTAACCACCGCCCCCTTGGCATTCAATGGTGTTACCATCACTAACAACATCCTGGGGGTTACCATTGCCCACAAACTGAACAGGACCAGCCCCACATAAACACAGCGGCTACAAGAGCAGGTCAGAGGCTGGGAATCCTGCAGCGAGTAACTCCCCTCCTGACTCCCCCTCAAAGCCTGTCCCACCATCGACAAGGCACAAGTCAGGAGTGTGATGGGATACTCCCCACTTGGCCCAGATGGAGGCAGCTCCAACAACACTCGAGAAGCTCAACACCATCCAGGGACAAAGCAGCCTCCCGCTCGATTGGCTCCACATCCACAAACATCCCACTCCCCCCCCACCACCGACGCTCAGTCACAGCAACGTGTACCATCTACAAGATGCACTGCAGCAACTCACCGAGGCCCCTCAGACAGCACCTTCCAAACCCACGACCTACTTCCATCCAGAAGGACAAGGGGCAGCAGGTACATGGGAACACCACCCCCTGCAAGTTCACCCTCCGAGCCCCTCACCGTCCCCGACTTGGGAAATATATCGGCCGTTCCTTCAGTGTCACTGGGTCAGAATCCAGGAAATCCCTCCCTGAGGGCACTGTGTGGGGGTCCCTACACCACACAGACTGCAGCGGCTCACCCCCACCTTCTCAAGGGGGGGCAATTAGGGGGGCAAATGGGGCAATAAATACAGAATGCAGCCATCCACGCCCACAAGTGAATAATAGAAAACTAAAAGAAAATACAAAGACTGAATCATTTTGTCCGACAAATTTTGAATCTTTCGTGTTCAGTGAGGAAGAGCCTGTTGTTTACTGAATCCTCATTAACTGTAGCCTGGGTTTCGCACTGTACTGCAGTGCGCAGTAATACGGGGGGGTGGCCCATTCTCCTCCCCACTTTACTGCCATTCGCGCCTTGCCATTATTGCAGAAATTGCCCTGTGCTTCTGTTTCGGGTGACATGCCTTCACAAATCCAAATGTGAAGCGGCGACAGACCTTTCCCCCCTTCTGCCCTGGTCTGCCCCATTCACCAATGCTTTCCAGCATTTCCATTTTCCAGCATTTCCATTCACGTGGTCTTCTCTGTTCTGCCTCCCGCCTGATGATGGAGCTCTCAGACTCTCAATCCAGGTTGCACATCTTTGTCTCCTTCCCTCCCTCTCTCTCTCTCTCTCTTTCTCCCAGTTTTAAAACTCTCCCGCACTCAGCGTTAATGTGCCTAGAATGGTTCCTCTTCATGTGGGCTTACCCAGCGCGATTCCACTCACATACAGCTGCCCCCCTGTATGCTCCAGAGTCCTTTCTCGTGAGCTCTCTCTCTCTCTTCAGCACTTCAGTGGCCGTCCGAATTCTTTCAGACCCAATCAAACAGTCCCATGTTGGCCTGCTGTACTGATTATGGGTGGCTAATCAAATATAGTGTTAGAAAACACAGAGACCTAGGGGTTCAGGTACATAATTCTTTGAAGTTTGCGTCACACATAGACAGGGTGGTTAAGAAGGCATTTATCACACTTGCCTTCATTGCTCAGACCTTTGAGTATAAGAGTTGGGGACGTCATGTTGAGGTTGTACAGGACGTTGGTGAGGCCCCTTCTGGAGCACTGTGTCCAGTTCTGGTCGCCCTGTTACAGGAAGGATATTATTAAACTGGAGATGGTTTGGAAGAGATTTACCAAAATGTTGCCGGGACTGGAGGGTTTGAATTATAAAGAGAAGCTGGGACTTTTTTCACTGGAGCACAGGAGGTTGAGAGGTGACCTTATAGAGTTTTACAAAATCATGAGGGGCACAGATAAGGTGAATGCAAAGGGTCGTTTCCTGAGGGTGGGCAATTAGAAGACAAGGGGGCATTTTTTAAGGTGAGTGGAGAAACATTTACAAGGGACATGGGTGGCAATTTTTTTACACAGAGAGTGGTTCGTCTGTGGAATGAGCGTCCAGAGGAAGTGGTGGATGTGGGTACAGTTACAACGTATAAAATACATTTGGATAAGTACGTGAATAGGAAAGGTTTGGAGGGATATGGGCCAGGAGCAGGCAGGCGGGACTAATTTAGTTTGGGATTATGGTCAGCACAGACTAGTTGGGCCGAAGGGTCTGTTTCCGTGCTGTATGACTCTACAATTCCAAGTACCTTGATTGTGGTGCCAAGTCTCCATTAGGTCATAAAACCATAAGAGATAGGAACAGGAGTAGGCTATTTGGCCCCTTGAGCCTGCTACCCCATCCAATAGGATTGCGGCCGATCCCACATTCCCAACTCCCCCCCCCACCGAGAGAAGAAATCCTCCCCATCTCAGTCTTCAGTTGGTGCCCCCTTTATTCTGAGGCTGTGCCCTCTGGTCCTAGACTCTCCCGTGAGGGGTCACTAACCCGAAAAGGAATGCCTTATCCCCACTCACACTGTTTCCTACCCACTACCCAATTCTTTATTCACGCCTGCAGTGAATTTTCAATAAACCCATTACTGGTGACTTTTACTATCGTTTCTTCAAGAATGCAAGGAGAGATTCATTTCTGTACTGGGCTGACGCAAAACTCTGTAACTTTGAGAAAATTGAATGTCTTTGTCAGAAAGCATTGTCCTATGTCCTCACTCTCGTCTCATTTCATATCCAATACATAAAAGCCATTGTCCCTTTATGTTACAGGCTCACGTTTTACCATCTCTTCACTCAGTGTGAAGGTATAACCAATTAATCTCGCCCTGGATGTTGCTATCTCTTCCCTCTGGCCTACACTACCTCCTCCCAGGCCATTCTCAGAATGACAAACATTGACGCTGTCTGTTGACTCATGGGAAGAAAGGTTGACACCCCATGTAGGTTGGTGTAAGGCTACAGGGAAGCTACAGGGAAGCTCCAGCGAAAGTTATCACTTATCGTGAGGGGATCTGGATGCAGAAGTAGAGAGGAGACACTTCAGTTATACAGGCCACGTGGTGATAGCAGCTTTGGATTACTGCAGACAGTCCTGCTTTTCTTATTGACGGAAGGACACTAGCACATCGGAAGCAGTTCCGATAAGGTTCGCTCAACTAAATCCCTGGAAGGAGCGGATTGTTTCACGAGGGAAGGCTGAATAATTTAGACTTGAGGCACTGAGTTTAGAACAGCAACACAGTTGGCTTGACGAAAATATCCCCAGGATCCCGCAGGCGGGTGTAGAAAGGATGTTTCCTCTCGCGAACAAGTCTGCAATGAGGCGTCACTGTTTGGAGATCAGGGCTCACCCCTTTCGGCATAGCCTTTCATCTCAGTGAAGCTCTCCCTGAAAAGGCAGACCCCTTGAATAATTTTCGGGTGGGATGGATTCTTGTTCAGCGAGGTGGGTTGGGTTGGAGAGGTGAAGGGTCGACGGGAATGCGTGTTTACCATCAGAGCAGCCACAGTCTTGTAGAATGGGTAAGGGCAGGCCTAGCAGGCCTACTTCCGGGCCTAGTCTAGCTGGATCCTTTGTATTAAGGGCAAGAGGCTGAGGAAGTTTCTCTGACTCTTCAATGTTAATCCGCAGTTCTTCTGTGAATCCTACCCCGAATCTTCCCGGCACCACCGACAGGTTTTTGCC